GTGGGAGGCTGAGTGGGGGAGGCTGAGTGGGGTATAATTCCATTAACTGCATTTTAAGGGGAGCGTCTGGGTGCAAGATCGAATTTTCGGCTTTTCCTGTTTTTATTCTCATCCTAAAGCTTACTTTCTGCCGCATCGAACGGTACTAGACCCATCTCTGTACGTTGATTTATGCGTTCTCGACAGATCCCGAAAGGTGGAGTCTCTTCACAAAAGTCAAGGGGGATAATTCCGGCCAGGCACTATTAAATATGCTATAACTGGACCTGCAGCTCAGTTACCACTCATCTATCATGCGGGAAGGTGTTGATGTAGTCGTCCTATGCAATGCTGACTGACTTTGAAGTGAGATAACGCTTACTTATCAGGTCCCATACTTTCAAAAAAAGTTAAGAGATCGTAAGTTCATCAGCCAATCATTGCCGGCCTTTCAGGCAAAATCCACCAATCATAGACAAGAAAATAGAGCGCAAGTACTTACGTTCACTTAGCGAGTTTTTAAAGTATATGGTCCCTGGGCTACGTTACATGCCTTTACAAAGCGCGCGGTGGTTTTTCGCCTCTACTGAAAAGTTTGAAAACCTTTCTCACGGCAAATCTATTTCCTCCTACAGTTTTGAAGCTACAACAATGAGACATTTACCATTCAATTTGCGAAAAAATATCTACAAAATTTCGCAGGCGTTTTTCTAATTTCCTTATAGTTTGAATTTTATTCTGCAAAAAGGAGGGGTGACCGGGGGTGAAACAGAAAACGTACGAAAATTTACGAAAAATGCCCCCTAACTCACATAAATGAAAAATTGCAAAAATCATAATGATCAGTTATTAGATATGGTCTTTACGCATCGAATGATATGTGTCTCTATGTTGTAGCTTGAAAATCCTAGGGCTAGATAGATTTCTACAGTACCCCCTATTTTTGTCCGTTTTCTAAGAATTTCACGTTTTCTTTCATTTTTGTGAAAAATTCACATAAACAAAAAAGTCTTAGATCTCTGTTTTACATACGTGTATAAAATTTCGAAGTGATCCGTCCGTAAATAACCAAG